ACACACACAGTACAGACCAAAGGTTTGGACACACCTCATTCAAAGAGTTTTCTTTATTTTCATATGAAAATTGTAGATTCACACTAAAGGCATCAAAACTATGAATTAAGACATTAACTCAGGTACTTCAAAGTAGCCACCTTTTGCTTTGATTACTGCTTCGCACACTCTTGGCATCCTCTTGATGAGCTTCAAGAGGTAGTCACCTGAAATGGTCTTCCAACAGTCTTGAAGGAGTTCCCAGAGAAGCTTACTTAGCAGTTGTTGGTCCTTTTGCCTTCACTCTGCGGTGAACCTAGAATATAAAACATATTTTCAGTTGTTTCACACTTTTTTGTTAAGTATACAATTCCACATGTGTTAATTCATCGTTTTGATGCCTTCAGTGTGAATCTACAATTTTCATAGTCACGAAAATGAAGAAAACTCTTTGAATGAGAAGGTGTGTCCAAACTTTTGGTCTGTACTGTACTGCATGCCAGTTGTGTAGCTAAATGGATGAAATCATGCCAAATTTCCAAAATATTAAGATGTTTTCTTCCATTTTTCATGTTTGTAGGAAAAATGAAATTATTTTATTATTGAGTTATTAGTTTTGTTTGGAATGCGGATTCAAAAACTTAACTCGTATTGGTCTAAAATTATCAGGAATATTGGTTCTGTTTGAAAAGGGGAATGCCAAAGGTTTACAGCGACTCTTAATATTACACAACGGGATTTCCCGGCTTACCGTTGTGCCAAAAAAATCTATATTTTCACCTTTGTTTGCACTGCAGCATGTGCACATTCTGACTCAGTTTGTCAACAGGAGTCACATTTATAAAACCACAGTCTTTGCACTCACAAAGGCATTGCTGAGGAAGAGGAGGAGGGGACAGCTACCACAGGCCTACCCGCAGTCCCGAACAAGTGATGAAAACCGGAGCAACTTTCACATCTGGAAGCAGACAGAAGTGGTTTCAGGAAGGACTGGGAGACAAAAAAAGATAAAAAAARRAAAAAAAAAAAAAAAAGAACCAGATTACACCAGAGACCTCTGCTGGACTGAGAAGGAAACAACATTTAAAGGTTCCAACACAAAGCCCCATCTCTTGGTCAGATGATGTCATGTTTGTGATGATGTTGACTCTGCTGGGATCATAGAGGTGTTTTTTGTCTGTGTAACATGGCAGTGGTTCAAGCTGTATCACTCATCAGATTTTCCATCATTCTTTTGAGATTTCTGGGATAGATTCATATATTAACTGACATTAGRATAACTTGCAATAAAACTGGCCGTGCTCGATAGCAGAATGTGAATAATGCCCCTTTTCCACCAGTGCCACTTAGTTACTGGTGGGATAGGTTCCTCCTCCCACTCCCTGATCAATTTAAATAATTTGTGGAGCAATTGGTCTCTGACAAAAACAACAATAATCTTAAAAGTTTGTTTTGAGGAGCCATCAGAGGTGATGCACATCCCAGGAAACACAGAGACCTTTACTTCACAGAGTGGAAAGAGTTGGAGTCTTTAACCAGAGAACCCCTTAAAATGGGCCGATGAACCAAGTTCAGCAGATCGCCCAAGTCTCTTTGGACAGCACCTCTTTCTGATTCTAACAGAGCAGCTCCTTACGCACTAAAGCTCTGTTGTTTTAGGTTTGTTTGATAGTTTTTACGTCACACAAAAAGGACCAAAATCGGACAGGAGACCAGCTTTTTTTTTTTGGACTTTGTAAACTTCTGCACCAGATTGCAGTGATGGCAACTATACTGCTTATTACCTTTTTAATACTCAAAAACAAATGTTTTTGCAGGGTTACGTTTGTAGTGTTGTTGTTTAAGTAGTTTCCTTATACTAAATTGCAGTTCAGATTTGACCGAATCAGACTAAAAATAGCTATAAAATAAAATCAGATGCAAGGCTATTTTGTTATAAATCATTAGAAAGAGAAAAAAGTAAAAGTGCAATCTTAAAATATGACAATTTAAAGCAAAACTAAGCAATTTATAGACAATATAGGCTACAAAAATGAAGTCATTATTTGTTTGTATTTCTGTTTTTATATTTTTTCAGTGTTTAGTACGTATATTGTAATACAGGCTACTCTTGTTCTTGTAATAAAAGGCAATCCTGTGCGAAGCACTTTCCGTAAAATCCTATTTGCCCTGAACGCATCGCGTGAAACACTTCCGTCATTACGCACATCGACGTAAGCCGTCCGTCCAATCAGGTGAGGAGCTGTATGCTCAGGAAAAAGCAGATGACCAGGTGGAACTTGCTTTGTCAACGCGACTAAACCCCTGGCTATGACGGTAAATTGAGTGAGTTTCGGGGCGACAAGCTCGAAATGATTTACCTAATATTGATTTCGGCGTTCTGTGGCGCGGTGTTCACCTTGGTGCTGCAGTTCCTGCTCATATTCAGGAGGAGCCCGGAGCCCTTAGGCAGGACCGTTCARTATGTCAAAGTGGTGCCCGATAGCGCGTTGAAGGATTACTTTAATTCCCCGCATACCGAAGCCAACCACCAGCAGCAGGACGGCGCGGCAGCTGCTACATCCAAGCAGGCGGAGGCCGCCGCCGGCTGCAGCGGCCGGCAGCAGGAAACGGCTGTCTCYGGCGGCAGCCCCAAACAACAGCCGCCGCCTTCGCAAGGCAGCGCCGAGTCCATCGATGCGGGCAGAGCCGAAACGTGTAATTTCCTCAACGCCATATTCCTATTCCTGTTTCGGGAGCTCCGAGACACCCCGGCGGTCCGACACTGGATCACGAAGAAGATCAAGGTGGAGTTCGAGGAGCTGCTGCAGACGAAGACCGCAGGTCGGCTGTTGGAGGGTCTGAGCCTCCGGGACATCTCCCTGGGGGATTCTCTCCCGCTCTTCAAAGCCGCCAAGCTCGTGAAGCCGGTGCAGCTGAACCAGGACGACATGCCCGAGGAGCTCAACTTCGAGGTGGACATCGAGTACAGCGGCGGCTTCCACCTGGCCATCGACGTGGACCTGGTGTTCGGGAAGTCCGCCTACCTGTTCGTGAAGATGAAGCGCGTGGTGGGCAGGCTCCGGCTGCAGTTCACGCGCATGCCCTTCTCCCATTGGTCGTTCTCGTTCGCCGAAGACCCCATAGTGGATTTCGAGGTGAAGTCACAGTTCGAGGGGAGGCCTCTGCCGACGCTCACCTCCTTCATAGTCAATCAGCTGAAGCGGGTCATCAAGAAGAAACACACCCTGCCCAACTACAAAATCAGGTAGGCTCCAAAACAACCACTCAGAGAGTGCAAACACCAGCAGGGGTAACACAGCAGCTATGTTGGCCACAAGCCCGGAGTGTAAACGTCCTGAGGAAACACTATCACCTCAGGGCTGCAGAGTGAGGCCAAAATGACCAAATCCAAAATGCCAAACTCAATAAAACACTGCTCCAATTAATGTGATACGAAGCAGTGAGCCTCAAAACCCCACTAAAACCTATAAAACCACTCCTCAGAAGACAGGAAAACAGATGGGGTGAAATACAAAACCATATCAAGTCTATTGGTGATCTGACATCCATCAATAATTCACTGAGGATGCACTGAGAAGGTTATAAGTAAGTCTGGAGATGGAGGTACATGCTTTCCCACGGGTCTGAAAAGTTAAGCCAATGAGCAGGGATCATGGAGGTCCAAGTCCTGCACACCTGACCATGTGATCCACTGTAGAAGAAGGGACTTTGATAAAAAATTTCAAACTTATTTTATAGCTGTTTTTCCTTTTTTGTACTCGTAAGGCTCAACGTACAGATTCCAAAACTGTTTAGTTAAAATCGGACCACCCGTTAAGAATTTAGAGGTCTTTTAAAAGCTGAAAATTAGGAAACAAGTGCTCATTACACCATAAAAAAAATTGCAGAGCTCCGTATAGCGGGCATCACAATTTCACAACAACTTTTCAAACCAAAGCAGAGCAAAAATTCACAGAAGCCTGCCCCGTGCACAGCAGCACATTTATGGAAGTGCCTAGTAGAAGCTATGACGCTAAGCAGAAAGAGCAAGAATCTGGATTTATCATCACTGTACATAGTGGGGATAAAGGACTGATAATCATAAAAAAATTTAATATTAGCAAAATTATTAATATATGGGTGTACGTAAGCTATCGGATGTATATAATTATGTCAGAAAGCTGTGAGTGTTATGGATRGATAAACAGAAGCGAAACATGAAACCATGTCTCATTTCACAAGTCAGCATATTTTTTATTTTATTTACCTCAATGTGGATGTGATCTGACCAGAACTAAAGCTAAAAATCTAACAGTTTCAAATTAAAATAAGTTTATAAAGCTGATGCAATAGCTGTATTGTTTAGTAAATATTATCTTCTGTAGCATACATTGTTTTACAGAGTGTAGTACTCTGCTGAATCATGCTGCAATTTAACAAATACTGTTAAATATTGCAAGGTAGTTAAGCCTCCGATTATGTACTATTTACAGTGTAAATTAACTGTATTTTTTGACTATTTTTAAGTTTCTATTAGACAAGCATGACCTGTTGCGAACATGGTTAGTTAATGTCAGTAGAGACAAGTATCACAGGGGATGCASTGAACATTTTCTAAATGTCGACTAGTAATTTTCCAGTTTTTATTAAATGACCACAACAAAAGAAATAGTTCACATGCCCAGTCAGGCAGGYAGCGGGRSACATCCACCTGTCCGAATATATGTTTTACCTGTCTCGGGCAGTCGCCAACACTAACCTCGAGTCATGCGGTTCAAATCTTGTAGCTCCACAAGTTTTCAGCTACAGAACAAAAGTCCAGTTGCTTCATATTTGTTCTTAATTTTCCATGTCCTGGATGACTGAGAGTTCACAGAAATATGAGAGTAATGTCAAATGTCGGTCACGGACCATATTGATCTTAAAGTTACTCAATCGATATTTTACTTCCAGCATGTCACTTTGTTCCAAAATTAAAACAACTGCATCAGAGCAAAAGGTCAGAGGCAGGTTCAGATATAAACGTAACTAAACAGGCGTGTTAGATAACTAATTAATCTGCTCTGATTGCGCAACAACTTCAGAATTGCCATTCTAACAAGTAGCATCCATGTTGAGCTAATTCTATAAGCAGYGATTTGAATGCGATGTCATCTCCCGGGTCTGTGGGTTGCATCAGGGCCGTGTAGAGTTCACACTGGAGTCAGATGGAGGTTGCAATTAAAATATAATGTGAGATACTGACTGACTTCAGGTCTGGTTTAGATCATTGTTACTTAGAAATGATACGCTTTCCTGCTGCTGTTTCACTGCTACTACAGCAGAGCRTCTAGTTGCATTTTTTAAAAATAAAACTGTCTTGTTAGAAATAAAAAAGGATGTTTTAATTGTTGTTTTGTTCTGAATCCAGAGCAGAAAGACATCAACACTGCATACCTATGTATATAGCCCAGTTGGGTGGATTGATTTTGACCCTCCTCACCTCCTCTGTCCACACAGAGGCAGCCAGAACGCCTCTCGGTCCTGGACAGAGATGTCTTGTGAAAGAGCCCGCTGTTTCAAAGCATTAGCTTAGCAATAACTTRTCGCCTTCCTCGGAGCCCAATAAGCAGCTTGTTAAGCAGCTTTTCAGGCTCATCACTGACTCATGGTGGAAGAAGACTGATGAGCACAGTTAGTTAAGGCCAAATCCTCTCTTCCTATTTGACCCTCTCTTGAGGATGGTGTAGATCAGGGGTGTCCAAACGTTTTGCCACATGGGCCAAAATCATAAAGTCAGAAGGACTTGAGGGCCAAAAATATTTTCCCTTTACCTGCTCAACAATAAACTAAGCATTGAATACTTTACTTAAACAAATAAAATAGTCAAATTTATTGCTGGAAATGGATGCATAAATTAATCTAGATGTAGAACTTTAAACATGTTTTGCAGGTTTCCCTTATTTAAATAAATTTAGCAATTTTCTAGGGTTCAATTGGGGGAAAATAACACAATTTAGTCAATTCTGATCAATAAAATCAGGATTTAGGTCACTCTTGTTGAAAATGCTTGCTGTATTCAGACGAATCTAATAAATTAATTAAAAGCAGATTTGAGGGCAGCAAAATCAGCTTTTGAGTAGAAAGCACTAGATAGATGTGGAAAAAGCWGAGTCTGTTTATTTAAAGACAAATAATTGGTATTGTTGCCAATACTTTTGATTATAAGATTTTACTTTGTGATAATTTTGCCCTAACAATAAATAGAAAGTCTCCGTCTCCATCAAACACCTGTGCCGGGGGGACAAATTTGTAAAAAAAAMAAACTAGTATGATTCTTGAACTGAAGTCAGGAGCCACAAATGGCCCCCGAACCACACTTTGGACATCCCTGGTGTAGATCGATGGTGGTGGTTCAGCCGACAGGGTTGCTGGCTYCTGACTATCTGCTCGCTGTCTCGTCATTTCCCAGCAGTTTAGAAAATGGGATAACTTGACCTCTGATTGAATGCACATCTGCAATCGATTTACTTTAGGATTTAACCTGATTCACTGATATAATTTTTAGATCTCAGAATAATCCTTTTTACTGCTTTTTCTGYGCAGTTATTCGGGCATCCAACTTTTGAGCACTTTCTAACAGTAGGTTAATTTAATTATGAATTTACATTTCCTGTAACATTGCCCATCATTTCTTCGTCCTGTGCAGTCAACCGTTCTCAACAACCTCATTTTACTAAATGAAAGTGCACAGAGTGATTATCCTAAAAGCTCTCATCAATGTGACTGACTGCCATTTTCATCTTCATAAACCTTCATATAGTTTCCTTGTTTGATGATGAAGGCCTGGTTCTGATTCACCTTTCAAATCAAGTCATTTTCTAAATCATACAGGAAAGAGCCAAAGTTTGACTTTTGTGGTTCTGAGGTACTTTGTTGTTCGATAGTTCTGCTCTGAACTAAAGTGGTAACATAATTTTCTATGCAAATTTGACTGAGATGTTGTCTCCAAAGTGCCAAAGTTGTGTTACGGACTAGAGATGGACATTTCAAACAAAAGTACTCTTTACTTGGTCAATATCCAATTACTCTTACAATAATGGACCACGTCCATACAGTTGGAATGATGACTTGTGGAGAATTATAGTTTACTAACTACAAGACTGTTGTCCTATCATGGATCAGGGCCTCCAGATATTCATTTAAATGCTGATGCTAACTCTGCTAATCTGAGATACTTATCTTCCTTCGTGTTCACCAGTCAAATAAATAAACATGAAACATGAAAAGGTCAGCATGTATTCTGTCAGTGAAGGGTGGGTGGGGGCGTTGTGTGTTTTAAAATAGTAAACCTGCCTGTGGTTGTGTAAGAAAAATACGTATTCAATAGACTGAAGTCAATATTAAAASCACCATTGTTAAATAAAATGATTTGTAGAAGGAATCAAACCAAACAACACTAGAATTCTGGAACTGAGTGAGGTTTAAYGTCACCGGAGCTGACAGGAAACCACACTGGCGAAAAACCAGGAAGTTCATCAATTTATACATGGTTCTTCAATGCCTGYGTTCGCCCCCTACTGACCTACGGCTGAATTACAGGCATTCAGACAAAAACCTCATCTACTGTTATCATAACGTTTTAATTATGTGTTGTTCTTATTCGGACATGTAACTAATCTATATCAGTCAAAACAAAATAGATTAAACATTGTCAACATTATAAAAAGGAAAACCTAAGAATATAGTGTTGTGCTTCTAACACCAGTACTAACCTCTAATAACTATAAATTTCTTCAGTTGGATGCAACCTGTCTCATAAAGACTTCACAGTCCTGCAGTTATTACCATTTGCTAGTGGGAAGAAAAACAACACAGTTTATTAAAACGACAGTCACTTTATTTCTTCCAGTTTGTGCATTTTACAAGTTTTTAAATATTCAGAAATCACTGCCCATCCCTAGTACTGACAGGCCTCTGGTGTATTTCTTTTCACTAGCAACTATTCAGTAGTAATAAAAAACATAGCTGGGGAAATGAAATATGGATTTCCACTGCATAATTTCAGAAAATATTTTACAATGTAAAAATAAAAAACATTCTAATTGTGCATTCAGGTTGATGGGGTCAGATTAGACTGTGAGGGTCTCGGTGATTGACTAGCATTAAGAAATGCTATGGATGACAAACGTGGTATTTTGACAAAATCTGATTAAATGTTTTCAAAAATAGTAAGAACTGGAATTCTTGTGTGTTATTTTAGTTTGTAATCCAACTTAACAATA